CTGCCGGGTTAGGGGGCAGGCAGGCTTGGACTTTTCTGACTTCTGCCATGAAGTCCTGGCCATGGGACCCCAGTGACAGTGATGTCTTTCATGGGCAGTTGAGTGACTCCAGCAGCCTCAGGTCCTGGTGTGAGCTCAGTTTGTACTGTCCTATTATGCATAGCCCTTCCCGCTGGATGTGGAGTCACAGGGAACGGTGGGGTCTCCCTGCCCTGCTGTTAGTCAGTTCCTGGTCATGGCTGCTGGGCGTCCGTATGGGAGCACGGAGGCGGGAACTCAGGGTTGGGGCAGTCCTTGCTCTGCTGGCTGGTGTTTCTTCTCATAGCGCTGGGACATTAAACAAACTTTTACAACCCACTGGTCCTGGCTGCCTCATTCTGCATCCCCGGAGGGGGCGCATCACAGCCCATGGGCAACGGGAGCATCATGGGAGTATCTCAGGCAGAGTGTCTGCCTAGAGCAGCAGGCGGCTCCCCCTGGGCGAGCATCTGGGAGGTGAGGCTGTGAGAGGGCTCCAGCAGCAGAAGCCACTTGGTATTCAGTGCCAGCTACCACCCACCCTGGTGCCGGAGGTGACAAATGTGCTCAGCACAGGGGCTCTGGTGGTGATGGATGGAGTTCATCCTTCAGTCTCCTTGAAAAGAGAGTCTGGTGCCAGGGGCTGTGGGTGTCCCATCCTGCCAAGGGCCCACCTGAGAGCCTGACAGTGTCGTGGTGGGAACGGCAGAGCGAGGTCTGTTGTGGGGAGCCTGCTGGGCTCTCCCGGGCCCTGGCTGGCTGCATTCTCTCCATGGTGGATGTTCAGGGCGATGCACTACCTGCTGGTTCTGGAAGCCTGGCATAGGTGGCTCCCGGGGTCAAGCACGGCTCAGCCTTGCTGGCGCTGGGACTCCTCAGAAAGGAGGTCAGAGAGTTGGCCCTACAGTCTCAGCCCTTCATCCTCCCTCTTGGCTCCCAGACCTACCTCCTTTCTTTGTCACATGTCATCGGCTCTGGGCCTGATGGCTCTTGCTTACAATTCTCAATGTTTCCACATCTGCGATTACATTCAGCTGCCATAATGACTCCGGGAAGCAAGCGAGCACTCATTCTTCCATTCATTCCACAAGCACAGTGAACGTGACCGGTCTTGTCAGACCCTCTTCTAACTGCACAGCATGTAAAAGCCGAGGCCTTGCTGTCTTCGACAAGCTGGGTGAGGCAGGACAGAAACGAGCATAGGGGGGAGGCCGGGGAGGGCAGCTGGGTGCCAAGACTATGTCGTAGCCGCTGCCCAGTGCCCTTCTACATAGCTCTTTGCTGGTTCCATCTTCAGTCTCCCAAGGCTCCACTACTGGGATTGGGCCCTGAAAAATGAAGTTTTTTTGTTTGGTTTTTAGAGCTGAAATGGTAGAGTGGGGGATGTTGCTATCCCCTGGCCCCCGTTCTTGGCTGGAGAGCCTGACTCCCCCGAGAATGGGTGGTCTTGTCCACTACAATCAATTTCGTATTCTCTGTCCTATGGAGTTTCGTGGATCCAGGTCCATGATTGGAGGCTCCATCGCAGGTGGCAAGTATGAGTCTAGGGGAGTGTTAGAGGCCAGAACCCTGGAGAGGAGCTTGATCCTGGTTGCAGCCACTGGTCACGAGAGGGTTAATCGTGGGCCACCAGCCCCTGACCCCTCACCCTCTCTGGGGCTGAGTGCAGCTCTGGGGGGAAGGCTACAGCAGGTGAGGCTGGGAGCAGTCACGAGGTCCAGGCTGCTCTCCGCTCAGTGCCCAAGATCATTAATAACCAAGAACTGGAAAGGTAATTAAAAACCAAATGTGGAGCTGAGCCTGCTGCTGGCTGGCTCCGAGGAGGGACCAGTCCTGCTCCTGGGGCCAGGCTCTTGGCTGCCTCGTTCTTTCTCTAGGAATGGATTCTGGAGAGAAGCGAGCCCCATGGGAAGTAGGGGCAGGAAGGGTGCCTCTTGCAGGTTTGGAGCTGGTTTGGCCTGGCTTTTCAGCCTCCTACTCAGAGTTGCAATGTCCCCTGCCCCTTCGAGCGAGGACCGAGGGAGGGTCCTGCACTATCGAGGGGAGGGCAGAAAGCCTGGCAGGGGACAGGAAGGAGCTGACCATGTCCGAGAGGCCACAGATGTACAGTCATCATAAACAAGGGCCTGTGTGGCAAATAGTGAGCTGAATACACCCAGACACTCCAAGGCTCGTTTATTCTTTTGGTGGGACACAGGAGAGGCCCTCAGTAGGAGGACATTCTTACTATCTCACCCTGGTCCTTCCTGCTGCTGTCACTGTGTTTCCTCCCTGTCTTTACTGAGCAGCTCAAGGTCCACACCACCTTGATCCTGGGAGCCAGGTGTGTGGGGGAGGGGCTCAGAGCTTAGGAAAGGGCGGGCATGTTGTCCTCCGTTAGGACATCTGGCTCCAGTCTGGTTATATGAAAGGGTACTGGTGTCCTGAAGTTTCCTGGGGGTTGGGGACGAGACCATCCCCTCTCAAAGCCCTCTAGATCCTGAAGAATTTAGGCCAATTTCCCATTTCTGAATTGTAGCGGGCAGTGGCTACAAGAACACACTCAACTAAATTAGGAGACTATGAAACCAGTTAGGTTTGGGTATCCAAACCAGGGGTCCTCAGGGAGTCCGAGAGCCCGTGGCTACCAGGGCAGTTATGGCTGGCATGTGACAAGGTAGTCGACATCAGCACAGAATAGCTTTATTGAGCACTTTTGTGCCAGGCACTAAGTAAGCTCAGTATTTTAGTCGGCGATACAGGTAGTATTATCCCAAGTTACAAATGATGGGAGGAGCGCATGGAGGTGTACGGCCTGTAAGGGGTGGGTCTGACTTCTAGGTCCACATTTGATCCCTAAGTCTTGCCGCTAAGGTCTGTGCAGAAAGTACCCAGCACTGAACCATGCCTGGCACATACCAGATGTTACTTCTCCCTTTCTCTGACACCATGAGCCCCACCTGAAGCGCTGGATCTGGGTCTTGGAAGAGCTGGCTTTTCAGTGGCCATTTAGCATGGGCTGAGTCAGACATCAGCCCTGCTCAAATATCTGGTCCCCAGACAGGCGTGATGTCAGCCTTCAGCTTGCCCAGGGTCTTGCAGCCCTAGGGCCTGGCACTGCCAGATTCTCCCCCTTGGGCAGCTCCTGTCTTCCCTCCTCTGTGACTTTTGCCTCAGCCTGTTGCCAAGGCTGCTCCCAGCCCCCATGTGGCAAGAACAGCTGTGTGGCTAAGGGCATGGCAAGGTGCCCACTGCCCACCTTCCAGCACTCAGCAGTGCCTCCCAGCCTGCCACCTGCCATCTGCCCCATCCATAAGCCTGTAGCTGCCTCTCTGGCCTCAGGTGAGGGAACAGACAGGAGCGGCGGGCACAGTGGCACAAGGCCCCAGCGCTTCGGCAGGGGACGAGGCGGAGAACACTGGCTCCCACCTTGACCTGGCCTGCCCCCGGGGCCAGTCTGGGGCAGTGTGGGCAGACGATGTCGGGTGGAGGCTCTGAGTTTTCATTCTCCTCTAAAGTGACGCTTGTACCTGGGCCAGGCTGGGCTGGTACCCTCTTCTGCCCTCCCACTACTGACTGCGCCCCCCGCCGGCCCCTCTATAAAGTGGAAACTATGACCCAACTGCCCATCTCATCAAGCTGATGTGAAAACAGCCAAATGTGCTCAATGCACATGGCGAGCAAGCATCCATGGGGACATGTTCTCCTCCCCTGGCCCCAAGCCCTCTGGCTCTCCGCAGTAGAGAGGGAGGTGACCCCACCTGACCTCGAGCAGGACAGAGAGCAGGTGAACAAGGAGAAGCAAAGGGACCCAGACAGCGGCAGTGACGAGCGCCCAGCTTGCCATCAGTGATGTTGTCACCTCAGGTCAATTCCTTCGGGGACTGGGGCCATCCAGCTCAGAGGGGAATGCCACTGCCACCAGATTCAGCTGCTGTGGGTCCAGACTGTCACATAAATCAACCTGCGCTTTATGATGTTAATAAATTCACGGCAAAAATCTGGTTTGGAGCCTGGGGCGGCAGGATGATTTAATCTGTTCTCAAGCAAAAGGGAACGTAATTGGAGAAGGCTAAGTACAGATGTTTCAAGTTTTCGGCAGGGCAGCTCCAGGGAGGGTCTGAGCCACAGGGGGCTGGGCCACCCTGGAGCCCACCCAGCCTTGCCCACCTCAGGGTAGGGCCTCCTGGAAAGAAGCTACAAGGGCAGATGGGGCAGATTTCAGGTGAATGGAAAATGATGACACATGGGTACAAGCTGTGAGAACTGAAAATGTGTGATGAGAGAAAGCAGATCATGGCCAGTTATGTATGACACGGGGTTCTCACAGGCTGGCGCTGCTGGGGGTGAAAGGTGTGGGGTAGTGTTGCCTGTGGACTCCCCATATTCCTGCAAACTCATGTGTCCCTCTGCCCTCCCCCGAGACCACCAGGAGGCCCAGTGCGGCCGCTCTGTTCAAGGTATGAAGCCACGCGGGGGAGGCTGCAGTTCCCTATCCAGGACTGAGCAAGGCACTGAAATCCAGAGGGAGGGGCAGGGCCTGAGACCCCACCCCAGAGAGGCAGCTCCTGGCCAAGCCCCTCTGGGCTCCAGGACGGGTAGGACTAGGCCCGGGGCTGGAGGCAGCCAGGGACGGTCAGGAACGAACCCCAGGTCCTGAAGCAGGAAAAGGCACATCGAAAATGCAGAGTTCATTAGAGTCACCTGTTTCTGAGGACGGCTGTTCCCGCAGACGCATGCATGATTGTGACAGGGAAGGGACCACGAAAAGCTGGCGAGGTGGATGGGAACCTGACTCTCTTTCCATGGGGATGGTGGCCGGTGCCCCATCTCACCCCATGGTGCCCAAGGGACACGGAGTGTGTGAACACTGAGCACCCAGTCTGGCTTGAAAGGGAGCCATCTTTAGTGTTGGAGCAGGGACTAGGGGCAGGCCTGACCTCTTACAGGTGGGAACCACCAGACCCGCTCGCCACTACAGGCCAGGGCACTCCCAAGTCATGTGGAGCAGGTAGGAGCAGCTTCCTTCCAGTGGCCCTTACACACTGTCCCCCACACTGCAGGAGGCCCCCAGAGGCCCAGCGGAGCAGTCGGGAGAGCAGAGGATCCCTTTCAGGCGTCACAAACTCCAGGCTTTAAACCGGTGCACGAGCTGCTGTGTCCCATGGAAGGGCTGCTCCTGGCCGCTGTCTCTGAGTCATCATGGGCTCAGGAGCCCGGGAGAGGAACTGGCGCCCACAGCAGGGCCCTCGTAGCTCTGGGCCAGGGACCCTAGTGCCAGTTAGCACCTCCTGCTCGTCATTGGGGCGGGTCAGGCCCTCCCCGGCAATGCCGAGCCTGGCGGGAAGGTGGGCCCAGCCTGTCACGGGCAGGCCCGGTGGGGAGGAGGGTGAGAGCCTGGGATCCATCCCGAGGTGGCGGCAGCTCCCAGTGGGGCAGACTTCCCAGACGAGGACGTGGGAGGGGGCTGGGAGGGAGAAGGGGGACGTGGAATCTGGTATAAACAGATGCACTGTGTCACCACCGTGCAGGGAGAGGACCGAGCCCCTGGGGATGGGATTAGTGTGTACAGCAGAGAGGTTGAGTCCAGTAACCAGCTCTGGACTCTGGGAGCGACCGCGTGTCCTGCTGTGCGCTTGGCTGGCAGGGGGCTGCCCCGGGGGGCGGGGCATGAGGACCTGCCCTGGCCGCTGAGGTGAGGTGCAGGCTGTGCGGAAGCCCAGGTGGGCAGACGATCCCCAGCTGGAGACGTGCAGGGTCCCCTCCAAGTACCCGGGCCTCGCCTGCCCCATGGGGACCTGGGAGGCAACTAGATCTTGGCTCTGTAGGTGGGGAGGGCGGGGCGGGGCCAGGTTGGGGCCCCGACCCCTCGGCGCAGACACGTTCTGCCATCAGAGCTTGGTCTCGCTGAGGACGATGTTGGCCGTGACAAAGATGAAGCAGGAGAAAGCCCAGAGCAGCACGAAGCCCACCCAGAAGGTGTGGCGGAAAGGGGACCTGTGCTTATTGAGGGTCCCGTGGCCGAAGGCCAGCTGGGTGTCCTTGCGGCAACAGTGCACCAGGAAGGCGGGGATGACGTACTGGATGCCGGTGCCCGCATAGGCCCCCGTGATGCCCACCAGGGACTCCAGGTCGTGGGTGCAGAAGGCCACCAGCACCGGGGGCATCAGCGTGATGGTGGGGAACACCACGCGGTCCACCACCCAGGGGTACGTGCCCCCCTCGCGGTGGAAGAGAGTCTTCCAGTTGTTGCGCAGCGTCACGGCAATGATGGGGAAGTTGGTGCTGATGGTGAAGACCGGGAAGAGGCCCAGGAAGAAGCGCACGGCGGCCACGCCCACGACGTCACAGCGCGCGAAGTTGAGGGTGTACATGTCCAGCAGGCTGTCGCCGCGGAAGCAGAAGACAGCGGTGAAAGACAGCAGGACGTAGAAAGCCAGGATCAGCACGTAGTCCAGGAGGACCAGGCGCGTGAGGCGGCGCTTGGAGGTCACCGGCGTGATGAGGGACGGCAGGGAGTGCTGGCACATGAAGGAATAGACGCAGACGCCGAACAGGTTCCGGACCCCGGAGAAGTCAGCCAGGGGCGGGTGCCCCTGCCCCTGCCCGCGCCCGATGCGGACCAGGGCCAGCACGATCATGATGGCGAAAGCTGGAGAACGAGAGGGGCGTCAGGCAGTGGGGAGGGAAGGGCTGTCGGCAGTGTCTGGTCTGGGGGCCCCTGCGAGGGACCGGAGCCCCGTGAGCAAGAAATTAAATTTTAATTAAAACTACGTTAAATTCACGTGACACCGACGGCCACATTCTGGGGCAGGTCAGCAGTGGCTACCGATCTCATGGATGTCCCTGCATCTCCTCTTCCTGTCCTGTTCACCTCCTCACCCCTAGCACGTAAGGGACAGTCCTGGGAGGAGCCTGGGCACGCTCGGAGGGAGGGTGGGGACCGTTCCTGTCCAGGAGCTACCCAGCTTCCTTATCCGCCCCCCGGGGCGCTCTGGGTGGCAGGGGGTGGGGGAGGGGGTCGCTCTGCCAGCTTGCTGGCGGGGAGCAGGCATGGATAGGGGCTCATGTTCTCTCTCTCTCGGTTTGAAAAATGTTTGGGAGGAGGTGTCCTCCTCAGCCAAGGGCCTCCGAGAGGTCACCTGAGGGGAAATGGGAGAGCGCTGGCTGGCAGCCCTGAGCACGAGTGGCACCCGAGGCCTACACCAGGCAGGAGGGCACCGTGGCCACTCGAGGAGGAAATGGCACTGCAAACCAAGGCTGGGGAGGCAAATGGCACATGGCTCTGTTCAGGGCCTGGTGGCACCGGTAGGGGACAAGGAAGCGACTCTGACCTGGGTTTGCTGCAGAGGGGGAAGGGGATGTGTTCCGAGCAAACAGGACTCCAGGCTGGCTGCGCCCAGCAGCCGTTTGCAAGGGCCTCCTCCGGCCGCGTCGCACACCTGGAGCCGGCCCAGGGGCCAGTGCTCCAGCGTAAGCCCCCTTCAGACAGACACACTTACGGGTCTGGCTGACTCTCCCCAATCCCTCAGGTAAAGCCCATGATGACACTTGCCATTTCTTGAGGAGCGACACAGGCAAACGTGAAGGAGCAGTGGGTTGGAAGAGGCCAGCTAGCTGCCAGCTGGCCCCTCAGAGGCTCAGGGCACCTCCCCAGTGGGAGGCTGGGGGTCTCCTCACTGTCCCCTCCAGGCCACATGTCACCCCCTGGCTCTCTTCTCCTGGGACTCACAAGAAGCCAGACTGTCTTCCCCCAATGACAATTGGGAGTGGGATCGATGAGACCGTCATCTATTACTTTTAATCAGAGCTGCCTGACACGGTCGGGGACAGGAGGAGAGGAGGGGGCGGGCGAACAGGCCTGTGAAAATTGCCAATAAAGAAGATGATTTGTTTCCGACTCTCCAGCCCGCCCCAGTCCCTGCCGCTCCTGACTCCGAGGGCCTCATGACTCTTGCTGCCCCAGGGACATCACAAATCTTCCCAGCTCTGGTCAGTCAAGGGGAAAGCGGCCACCCAGTTCCTCCCTTTAGGTCTCAGCTCAGGAGCTGCCTCTGGCTTAACCCTCTAGGGGGGGTAGGGGGGTGTGTGACAGGACACCCGTGGGGCCTCCCTGCCCCCTCCGGGAGCCCAGGACCCCAGAGCCTGGCCCGTCAGATTTCTGGGGGTGGGTGCAGGAGGGGTGTGCAGGGCAGAGATATGTTGGAAAAGCCGTACCACAGGGAGTGTGCTGGGCAGGATGTGAGGCAGAAGGCACGCCGGGGCAAGGCTGGAAGGGGTGGGGAAAGGGTCCCCTGTGCCAGGGTGTCTGTCCTGGGCCAGAAAGGGTTACGAAGCAGAGCTGAGTGGGTAGGGTGACTATAGGTGGAAGACTGGGGGCCTGGGGCTGCCTGGTGATGAGCTATTCAAGAAGCTACAGCTGACAGTTCTCCCACCATAGGCAGGGCACCGGGGTCAAGGCAAAGGGATGGCCGCTGTAAGGCAAGATTCAAATCCTGCTATGTCTCTACCATCTCGGAGTGTCACCTCATGACCTGGCACTACCCCTGGCCCAGGCCGGCACGGACTCTGAGAGGGGCGGGTGGAGAACTCCTCGTGTCTCTTGTTGGCCTTGGCCTAGGGGCTGTGGGTGTGGGGGGCATACAGGAAGGCTGTTGGGATGTGAGCACCTCCTAACCGCTGCTCTCTCTGGCTGGGGTGCTGGCTAGCGCCTGTCTGCTCACCTTCCTCCTCAGCCCTAAATCTCCAAGAGGTTGTAAGAAACACAGACAGAAACTGGCTTGTGGGCAGTCTAGGTAGCCCTGACTGGGGGCTCTGCTTATTGTGAATAAACCAGTTTATGAAACAGGTTTCTAAAGACGTGAGACTGATTTTTTAAAGCATGCATGCCCCCCGCCCCTCAAGAATGTACACCTATAATAGGGGTCCGCTCCGGTTGATAAGAAACTTTATCTCACAATCTTCCTGCTGCAATTAATTTTACCACATACCGCTACCACCTAGATTAGCCACACATCTTGTTCTCTTAATCAAACCAAGTCTATTTGCAAAACAACAGGTCTACCTTCCAGGGCTGGCTGTCCAGGAATTCCGATGCCAGAAACTCTTGGGAGGTGATTCCAGGAGCGTTAAAAACAGACAGCTTCATGGGGTTGCAGCTCCTCAATAATCGCTAACCTTGAGAGTAGGTTCTCCAGGCCAGGGGCCCTTTGGTCTCCACCCCCCAATACTTCGAGGTCATAGGGCGGGTGCTGGGCTCTGCTCTCTGGCGTGGAGAGGGAGGGGAAAATGTTCCAACCTGGTCCCCAAGTCAGCAAGTTCGAAAGAATCCAGGGACACCCGAAACACCGTGCTGCAAGGGAGGGGAGCAGGAGGGCCGGGTGTGGGCAGCCCGAGCCTTGAGGGGTCCTGGAACTAGAGTGAGAACGAGCTCCCCCGTGCTACCCAGGCCCTGGCCTTGTGACCACACTCCTTTGCCCCGGCCCTTCCCTCCCCTGGCTGCTAGATGAGCAAGTTCACCTGCCATCTTCTAGATTGATTGTCCCATCCCTGGGAGATAGCTGCTCCGAAAACTCATTAGGTCTGGTAATAAATCAAGATGAAACCAAGATGATAGGCTGTGAGCGACAGGAGCAGGACCCCGAGTGCACACGCTGACGCCGAGGGCCGGCGCTGACAGCTCTCGCCCACCTGGCTAAGGCAGTGTGGGAGGCGGAGGTGGACACCGAGGTGGACAGAGCAGTGAGCGCTCTCTGACACCCTGGTGACCAGGACCTGTAGTCCCCCAAAGGCAAGGCTGGCCTCGGCTTCTGTCTGGCCCTCACGAGCGTTGCCAGGACCCCGAGTGCACACGCTGACGCCGAGGGCCGGCGCTGACAGCTCTCGCCCACCTGGCTAAGGCAGTGTGGGAGGCGGAGGTGGACACCGAGGTGGACAGAGCAGTGAGCGCTCTCTGACACCCTGGTGACCAGGACCTGTAGTCCCCCAAAGGCAAGGCTGGCCTCGGCTTCTGTCTGGCCCTCACGAGCCAGGCTCAGAGGACCCATGAGATGGCCGAGGGTCACGGTCCACATCCACCCGCATTCTGCACCGAAAGTCATGCTCCAAGGGGTGCAGTGAGTTGCTGGGGAGGATGGGGGGCAGGAGAGGTGAGGGCCTGACCCATGTCACATGAGGAATGAATGTCGGGCCTTGGAGGGTGCAGCTGCAAGGTGATGAAGCGGGACAGGAAACGTCTCTTTTAATATCTGAAGTAACAGCCCATAAAAAAATAACTGCTCTTGTTTTGTGTAACTTATGGGCTCAACTGGGACCATTCATTCATTCATTCATTCATTCAACAAAGTTGTGCCGCGTGCCCGCTGTCGGCCGGCACTATTCTGGGCATCTGGGGGCGGCGCACTGGCTAAAGTGATACAGTCCCGGCCTTCTGGAGCCTGCCGTCCAGTGGGACTAGCGGGAGGTGACAGGATACAAATTACAACAAAAGAAAGAACTGATTACGGCCGCGTTAGCTGCCGGGGCAGATGGTGAGATCTTTGGAGGTGTCCAAGCCCGAGGGCAAAACACTCCCGGGGGGTCACAGGGGGAATCAGCCATGGGAACCTGATTTGGAAGAACCCATCGGGCTGTCCCACTCTGCAAGCCTGTGGCTGCCACACTTCCTCTCGGTGAAGGAGGGATGCGCTGCAGGCCCCGGGGGGGCGGGGGCGGAGGGGGGCACCCACAGCACGAGCATCGCTCTGTCTCCAGGCGCCCGGCCCAGCCTGTGACTTGGCCTGAAGAGGTGTGCTGCTTTCGCAGGCTTGTTCTGACGGCTGCTCTGAGTTCGGTGGGCTGGCTTCACCACATCCATTCCCCGTGAGCCGCAGCCTGCTCCCTACTCTCCCGCACATCTGACTCCTTGGGAGGGAGACACAGGAACCAAAGGCAAGTCCTCATCTTAGTACAAACCCTGAGCCCTGAGCAGACAGCTTCAAGAAGACATCTCCCTTCCCTTTCTGAGGTCAGGTGAAAAGTAAAATCTATGCCAGGAGTGACCCGACCATCTAAAGGACGTGGACGGCTCATGTTCCTCCAGCTGAGGCACGTCCAGTTAACGGGCGTCAGGACAGGCCACACAGACAGGTCACTGGTCCACATCAATATCAGCTCTGTCATGGGGGATATCGGCAACGGCAAGTGTGACAGTCAAGGTAATATTTTATACCAAGATGTGTTCTCGTAACATTTAACGAGTCATCAATTAGGCTCTTAAAGCAGTCGGGAGTGGCCTCCCGCCCTCCTGCCTTCTTCTGCCAGGAAGAGCTGGGTAAGGAGCCCTGGCCAGGAGCTGTCTTGCCTCAGATATGTCTGTCTGTCCTCAAGGCCTCTCTCCTTTGCAGAGTAGGGCAGGTGAGCCAACACCCTTTGAACTCCTACCAGAGGGCAAAGGAGGTCCCAATTTAAAAGGGGGTGAACGTGAAAAAAAAAAAACCAAACCAAAAACCAAATCTGGCGCACTCAGCCTCTCCTGGTTCCCTCCCTCCCTGAATACCCCGGCTCTCCCCGACCGCTCACCCTGGGGCCTCGTGAGTGAAGCCGTAAGCGGGCCAAGACCTCATGGGAGTCGGAGCTGATTTGTTTGTGGGGCCAGGTGGAGGACGAGCAGGG